CCATTATTTATTCCAATCTCTGGGGCCCCCAGGCTCCCCCACCCTCCATCTCACATTTCCTTTAAGACCTACCTCAAGATTCCTTCAGTATAGCTCTCGCTCTGTAAACTTTCCCTATCAACCCATCTTGCAAAATCTTTCACTGACTTTGAATTTCTTTAACTGGTTTTTCTCATTCTTGGTTCCCCAGAGTCTCAATAAGTATCTGCTGAGTGATCAAATATGCGCAATATCAAAGCATCAGAATTACACCCTAGGCAGTTTGTGTCTTTTAATCTCCAAAGAGGGGCTGTAAACCCCTCAGGATTGGAGATCATGCCCTATCTCGTGCTGTTCAGTAGATCTACCACAGGACACACGGATGAGGTATGTAGGTAGGTGTGTAGGTACCTGATGAATTGAACTGAATTAAAATATATCTCTACCCCCACCTAAAACAACGATGGAATCAAACAGAAGACAGTCTCTGCAACCAAAAGAATCAGACAGGGAAGGTTAGAGTATTCTGGAAAAGTAGATTACTGGCCATTTGTTATGTCCTAAATTTTTATGCCCATTTTTTCGGTCCTAGTAATGGTCTTAAGTGTTTCAAATTAAGTCTAGACAAGAGCATTCTGAATAGCCCAGAAACAAAAAAATCTACACATTTTAATTGCTGACTATCCTTTGCCTGAATGGCATGTCTTTTCGTTTGTTCTTCCTGAGAGTAGAGCTTAATGTTTGGTCTTATTTTTAGTTTGCTGGTCATGCTGATAGCGGAAATACCCCAGCATCAATGTACTGCTTGCTCCAAAAACACTCGCATCACTGTAAAATGAAATAGGGAAACGGCAGGGACTTCCAAGTGAGGTAAAAGAAGTAAACAGGATGACCTACAATGCCATTCCTTACAGGTGAACAACTGAAAGGTGACACCATTAAGGAAATCCCTTTCTCCCCTGAGCAGTGTTTCTCAAAGAGTGGGCATAGGGCCATCTGCACAAGCTCACCTCCATTTCCCTGTGGTGAATCTCGGTGTGTGTTGGGGGGAGAGGGGCGGCGGCCGTACTCCTCTGGAGATTCTGGGGCAGTGGTGGGTCTGGGGCAGGACCTTGGTGAAAATGTGTTCTTAACAAGCTGTCCAGGTGACTCTCATGCACACTAAAGCTTGAGAACCGGTGAGGTTTGACAGTTAACTATGTAACTGACCTTCAAGTTGGAAGGAAATACTCATGCACCAGACTTAAACTGAAAAAGAAGACTTCGTTTCCTGAAAAACACACAATCAGGCTTGCCTCACAGAATACCTACAGCAATATACCCCCAACCTTGTCTAAGCAAATGCCTAACAGCTGGGGAAACAGTTCACTCCCCGCCACACCACCTACTTTTCCAGGCCGAGGATAGGAACATCTCTTTATGTCATACTGTTTCCAAGTCACTAGGGGATGAGGGTGGGATGAGACATTTAATACTGTCCAATTTAAAACAGAGAGGGACATGTAAGTGTTTTCCCCTTTGGAAGTGAGAGGGCCCCAGGGAATCACATGCCCAGCCGATAAGGGGGACCCTAGGGAAACCAAGCGCTGCTGACGCTGGATCCCCAGTCGGATGACTTCTCTACCCCAGGCAGTTCAAACACAGGACATTCTTTCAAGATGTAGCTGAAGATGTCTTCCTTCTCAGACTAACAAAAGACAATTGAAGAGCTTTTATCCGCTCCCCCACCCCCATAAGAAGGCAAAGCAATCGGGAAAATCAACTTGATAAATGTGGCCTGGAGTTGGCTGTCCCACACAGCTAGGACTAACGCAGACAGAGCTGGAGACTGTCCTCAAACACTCGTCTTGCTCTGTATGGTAACAAACTACTCCGAGGTTCAGACAAGGCTGGGGGACAAACAGGACGTCGTGACCAATTTAGAGATGAAGCGTCATTTCAGGCAGGAAAGTTGGGCTGGCTTTCATGTTGACTGTGCCCTTGAACACAGAGCTGGGCACAAGGGGGCCCACCATGAGGACCTGAAGGACGCTGGCCTTTCTGGCCAAGGTGACCATGAGGAGGAAGAGGTTATCCTGCTCAGAACGCTAGGCAGCCCATCGCTTACAGGCTAAAGAGAGGGGGTAATATCACACTCAGAGGGAGGGAAATGGGAGTGCAGGGGCCCAAAGTGGAGGACGGGGAGAGGAGAGCTAATGAGAGCCCTGGGACTGTCGGCAAACGAGCCTTCAACACCTGCCGGAGGTGCTTCTCCTGTCACCCCGGCTTCCTGAGCTGGGGTCCCCGCACCAGGGCAGACATGAAAGCACAGTAAAACTGGAGAGTCCATCTGCGGGAGATGGGTGGGGAGTGTCGCATGAGCACAAGGAGGTGAGAAGACCAAAGAGCTTAAGAATCCCCAAGTTGACTTCCTCGATTCATCAAGTTTTGCTCTAAGTACATGTTGCCTTTTACATAGAGTTTTTAAGTCTTTTTACAAGTTGCCATGCTCAATTTTTAGTAAACATGAATGAAGCCAGTATTTGGTCACTCAACAGCAATTCAGGATAACTAAATTATAAAAGCCCGAGCGGCCCAACTTCGCAGCAGTTCACCTTAAATTCAGGCCAAGACCTAGGAAGAAGTACCTTTGGCATGCTGAATTGGCACACCTAAATATAAAGTGACAACAGCAGTGGAGAGCTGGCCACGGCAGCGCTATCCCTCAGACGGCCTGGTGACCGTGATGACGCCACCCAGAGCTCGCTTTCAAAGAAGGGCACTATCTAAAGAGGACCCGTGCCGTCCCAACCACCGCCCATCCTCCTCCTTCAACGCCTCCCTCTGCCTTCAAGCCCAGGCTCCCCCTCCCTCCGTGGCCACAGCATTGGGCTCAGGGCTCCCCTCCCCACTCAGCTCTGAGGAGAAACGCCTGACTGCGGAGCAGAGGGACAGAGAGCAGACCACCGAGGTCTAAGAAGTGAGCGAGTGGAGAGGCAACAGGTGAGCAGGAGTTGATCCCTCCCTCCGGAGCCTGGCAGGGAAGCAGGGGCAAGCGGGGGCTCCTCCGCAGAGGGGGAAGATGCTCGCACACCTGAACTTAGTGTGAAGGGAATGGCTGGCGAAGGACAGAGGTAAGAGCCTAGAAAAAAGCTGTGGTCGCTCAGGAAATGCCTCCTAAAGGGAGGGCAGGCCAAGCGGGGGAGAGAGCATAAGCGGAGGGGCCTCGAAACGTGTCTGAGTTAGGATTAAGATGAGGAAGGGCAGAGGGGCAGGCCGGGACCTGTGTCTTGTGGCTACAGACCTCCCAGGGAAGGAGGGTGCAAGGTCAGCTACCAAGACCGGTGACCCACAGCTGAAGGACGCGGCGAGGAGCACCGGGCGGGAGGGGTCTGCAGTGGTCTGTGCGGAGCCGGCCGGGGCGAGCGGTGAGCACACTGGGACACGAGGTCAGCCTCAGGTACGGGGGACGGGCCAGCCATGCTGGCATGGCTCTAGCACATGTTCCAGCCCCTTCTCCATGGCCTGGAAGGAAGCGTGGAGAAAGCACATCCACCATCGGAGTGTCAGGGCAGAAGCGCTCAGGAACAGATGAGTCTTGGGATTCCCGTTTTACTGCCCTCGTGTCAACCTCTTACATGTGTATCAGTCCTATCTTCTCAGGGGAGTTTTAGTTTCATTTCTTGCCAACTTCCATTTTCACCGGTCTTTTCAACATCAACTCAAACAACCCACCGTAACCTCCATAGAACAGACTCTCTTGCTTCCCATTTCTATCCACTCCTTCCTGAGTGCCAAACACACGCTGGACATCGACCAAAGCACTTAAACTGATCACAGCATTCCATCATCCCCACAGCTCCACAGGCTGGTGACCGGATTTTCCCAGGTTATGGGTGAGGAAACGAAGGTGTAGAGAAATGAGGCAACACGCCCAAGTCGCACAGCCTAGCGAGTGAAGGGATCAGGTTCAACCCCAGCTTCTCCTCACTCCAAAGCCAGTGCGCTCATCTGGGTCCCCCCAGTGGCGGTTCTCAACCCTGGCTGTGCACTGGAACGCCCAGAAAAGCCATAAAAAACCCATTTAGGACCCCGTTCCCAGAGATGTGGATGCAGTTTGTGCAGACTGGGACCCAAGCCAGCTTATGTTTTAAAGCCCCCCCAGTTGATTTTAATCTTGTAGCCAAGGCTGGGAACCAGTATGCTAGAGACTCCAGGAAGGCGAGTGCCTAACCTCTGCTGTCGTGGCTGGTCCTGGTACCCAGCACTGTGCCTGGCACATGTGAGAAGTGAAATAAATCCCTGTTGAATGAGTGAAGGGATGAAAGCTTTGCACTTCCCTACCAACGGTACTTCAATCCTTCCATCATTCTGACCCCAAACCTGGAGTTCGCTCACCACAGGAGCAAGCTGATTGGCTCCCAGGCTGCAGTCTCTCCCTTCTTCCATGCCTCATCTACAGGGATGTACAAGCCGTCTTCTCACAGCATCCCCTTCATCCTGTTACCCTCTGTTGTTCAAACACCTCAGTGCTTGCTCCATGTTTAAGGATACAATTGCAATCCCTTAGTCTGCTATTTAATACTCCAACAAACTGGTTCCAACCTATCCTTTCAATCCCACCACCCACAGACCCTCTATTCTGGCCAAGCAGGTGTTCTCCTTGTCTCCTATGTGAGTCTTGTGCGTTCCTGCTGGAGTGACTTCAGGAATGCACATCCCTTTCTCCCCTCCACCTGTCTGGATCCTGCCCTTCCTGGAGGCTCTAACTCCCCTGCTCTGCCTTTGCTCTTCACCCCAGCCTCCAGGAATCCCTTCCAACTCTCAACATCTATGCCAGGACTCTTACTTGGCACCATTCTTACATGGCTTTTAATCATCATTTCAATGTGCATGTCTTAATTTCCCAACTAAATTATGATCACTTGAGGGCAGCAACTGCAGGGGTATAATTTTATCTCCTCCCAGTGACTAACACTGCACATTCTCTGTGAATGCCACTGGGCGTTCAGTGTCTCCTGTCTTGGTGCAAATGGTCTTACCTGTAATATCTGGACTGCAAGTAGGTGGAACACACAGCCTTGGACACGTGACTGGCTGAACCAAAGTCGATGACCTTTACTCTGTATGGTTGTCTAGATGGATCTACCAGCATGATGTTTTCTGGTTTGAGGTCAGCATGGATAAGACCTAGGCTTTTTAGTTTCATCAGGGCTGTGGCTACCTGCTGGAGGACCGGGCGTATGTATTTGAGGGGCAAGGGGCTAAACTTATTCTGCTTCAGAAAGTCATAGAGGTTCTGCTCCAACATCTCAAAGACCAAGCACGTGTGATTCTTGTGCTGGAAACACTCATAGGCCCGGACAAAGTTGTAGTCATCAGCACTCTCAGTGCTCAAGCGGGCCAGGATGCTCACCTCAATCTGACCTTGTCGGGCGTATGACGGGTGGTTCTTCAGGATCTTGATGGCCACAATTTCATTGGTGCCCCGTTTCCAGCACTTGACCACTTGCCCAAACGTCCCTCTGCCTAAGAACTCTAAAACTTCATAAGTGTTGGTCATGGAGCACAGCACCTCATGCTGGACTAGCTGATAATCACCTTCACTGTTGGAGCCACTGTTTTTGGAGGTGGCAGTCGATGTGGTGGCAGTGGCTACAGTGGCCCCACTTGCATTATTCTGAATCATGGGGGGATGCTCTTCAATGATCTGCACGCTGCTTGTGTTCTCAATCTCCTCACTCTTACGCTTGAGTCCACATTTTTGGTAGGTATCAAGAAGGCTCACAGTGCTTCGACGCATTAGGTTATGCGGTCCGCCGAGGACCTGCCCAGTGACAGAAGTGCTACTTGCTGATGTTACGACTATGTGCCCGGTGCTTCCTGGGAAGATGATGGTCTGCTCGTAAGGTAGGCTTGGGTTTGGGATTGGCAAGGAGGTGCTGACGGTTGTGGTGGCTGGCTGAGAAGGTGGTATGTTCTTGCTCTGGCTATACACTTTGCTGTGCGAGCCGTACCCAGTCATGTCCCAGTTGGAACTCGGCTCTACTTTCAGTTTCTTCACACTACAGAAGGCACTTGATTGAAGGGTGTGAGGGGAGAAAACTTGCACATGTGAGGCCATACCTACAAGAAAAAGAAAGGGAAAATAAATATTTTAGTCACCGTTGCATGAGTGAACTTAACAGACTCATCTCAGTTCTGACCAGTGGCTTGGGTCCTACAGAATATTTTCCTCTCACTTGAAAAGAAGGTTGCAGAAGTGAATCTATTCCACTCAGAAACACATTCTGGTCACTCAGTTTGTGGGGTGAAGTAGTTCCAGTGTTCCACCTACCACCATTAGGAGGGTGGGAGACTCGTAGAGTACAGCCAGGAATACAGTCAAGATCTGGATACAGAATTAGAATACTAGGACTTGTTCATTATTTACTTTTTTATAGATATCATTTGTGATAGACACGGATTTTTCCTTAATTCTCACTGCATTGCAATCCTACTAAAACGAAAGACAAGATCAGGCGGCCCAGTTAACTGTTATATTCTTCATTGTTCCACATGGTCAGCTACTCCTTGTCACAGACTCTGTCAGGTTCACTTGTTTGAGGAAACATCTTCCCACATAAGTCCAGTCACAGAGCCACTCATGATCTACTAGCTTCTGCATGAACCATATTTACCCCCTGGGATCTTAGTCATCTTAAATGAATTCTGTAGAATTGAGTAGACCAGCAGTTGGTCTGATGTTTTCATTTAGACAGTCTAACATTATATTAGCCTTTTTGGGGGGGAGTGGGTAGCACAATTCATGGGCTCTAATTACTCACTTTTCTGCTAAATTTATCTAGAAAGTACTATTTCATACCAACACCTCACCCACAATTTATATATCCTCAGAAATCTATAAGACCATAATTCTGGAATAGTCGTACAATTTATCATTTTGGTGATACTGAAAGAAACAAAAATTCATAGAAAATATATTAAGGAAAAATACTAAGACGATGAGGAAAGATAAGTTCTTAAAGGTGAAAGTACAAACAAACATTGCCCGTCTTCTAAGCTGTAGTTGATAAACATTTCTTATAGTAGCACAAGGTAAGTGGGGTTTCTATCAAGCAGCGTTGGTGTTTAGCCATCCTAGTATCTGTGTCTTTCTGACCCCTTGGCATTACCTAGAGTGGTTACTTAACATTTTCCTTTTCACCCTGTCACCCATTACCCTAGTCCACCTTCTCTTAACAGACAACCCACCTTCCACTTTGTCCAGAAGCCCGAGGTCAGCAGCCTTGCTTTCCACCTTTATTCTCTTCATTTTAAAATATTCCTGAATCAACATCCATCCTCCATCCTCTCTCCCTTCTCTCTGGTCTCAGAGGAAGAGGTGTCTCTCCTTTCCAACACTACAAGTTGCCCCTATTCTCATGATTTATCCTCTCCCATTTTCTCCTGAACTTCATGCTCCCTCCACTGTCCTCTCTTTCTCTTACAGGTTTCAATTTCTCCCTGTTAACTGGATCCAAGTCCTTAGTAGGTACTTAATATTAATAAAGTTTTGCTAAACTAATCAATGACTTAATCTTTGTCTTCTGCTGTCATGTGCACGTGCACACACAAACTCCCAACTTGGAAGGCAAGAGAAATAACATATTCTCCCTTTTAATTCTTTCCTTCTCACCTATAATCAATGGTTTATGCTCCCTTTTCTTCAAGATTCACTCCTTAATCCTTCTCTTCCCACATATACACACACTATGGGACTATGTTCTTAAAGGTAAACGACTTCCTAATTGCCTAATCCAATGGCCTTTTTTCAGCCCCTATTCTCCTTGACCTCTCTGCAACATCTGATACGGCTGACCACAACTTCCTTCTTGATGCTCTTATCTGTGCTTATGTGAATCTGTAACCTCCTCCCCTAGTGTCTGATTGCACACTCGGGTGGTTCCTTTTCCTCTTCCTCCTTTAAAATGTTGGCATTTCCAACGTTTTGACTCTGCTCTGTCTGGAAGATATCACCCATTCAGTTTAAGCTGTCATACCTATGCAGGTGACTCCCACATGTTTCTCATCGGCCAGGCTCTCCCTTGTAACTTCCAGTAATATATTTCTGCCTCTTGCTACATCAAAGACAATCTTCCAAAGCTGAACTCCTTATCTTTTCCTAAAAATCTAGCCATCTCACCCTCCATCCTAACATCCCCATTTCTGTTCATAAAATATTTTTCTAGTAACTTGGTTCCAAAACTGTGGATTTACCTTTGATGATTCTTCTCTGCCTCCATGGACAAGAAGGTGCCAATCTTATTAATTTCTCCTTCCTTCAAAATGTCTCTTGTATTCATCTCTTTATTTCTGTTCTTGCTGCCACTTCCATAGTTAAAGCATTTATCTAGCAGGACTAAAACACACAAAGACATCTGATATACCTGAGCACTCTTTCTTCCTCCAATTTGCCCATCTTCAACCACCAAATTAATCTTTCTAGGTATTTCTAAGCGTGTCACTCCTCTGTCCAAAAACTTGCAACGACTCCTTAGTGTCTAAAAGATAAAGTTGAAGATTCTTTAACTTAACACCATCACATTTTGATTTCAACTACCTTGTTGGCTTCATCTCCAACTATTAACCTTCCTCAACCTTCAACTCTAATTAAGCTGTTTGACTCACTGTTTCTAGAATGTCTCTTATCCTTTCTATCTCCATACTCTTCACCATTCCCCCATCTGGCATGCCTTCGCTGTTCCTCTCAACTTATCCAAAGACAAGACAATTCAGATCCCTCTTCTTCCCAGACCACTCCAACCTACAGTGATTATTCCCAACCCTCTGTTCCTACGGCACTTACCACAGGTATCATCCATCTGGCCACAAATTGCATTTCTGCCTTGCAAAATCTCTTGTCTTATTGAAGTGAATGACTTATCTTTTATGCCATTTAACTTTTTACACTTTTACGTCACGTTTCCATAACCAGACAATATTCTGGGGGCAGGAGCTACAGTTTATACCTCATACTTTTTTGTGTTTTCCCCAGTATTAAGCCGAGTTTATTATACATGGTAGGCACTCAGGTGATGGAATAAAGCACTCTTTTTTTTTTGTGAGGAAGATCAGCCCTGAGCTAACATCCATGCCAATCCTCCTCTTTTTTTGCTGAGAAAGACTGGCCCTGAGCTAACATCTGTGCCCATCTTCCTCTACTTTATATGTAACGCCGCCACAGCATGGCCTGACAAGCGGTGCGTTGGTGTGCGCCCGGGATCGAAGCCATGCTGCCAGCAGCGGAGAGCATGCACTTAACTGCTACGCCGCAGGGCCGGCCCCAGAATAAGACACTCTTCAACTGGCCAGGCCTCCAGGAGAGCTTAGTTCTCTGGCTATAGAGCAATTACCAGTCACAGGCACCTATGGAACCTGGCCTCGCTCTAGAAAGTAAAGAAAAACCTGCCAGCACTTTTCCACCCAAACCAAGACTTTTTTTTAAAAAACAAAAGCAGAGGCTAGCCAGCTCTTGTCCTGGGGTCATCACTCATGCTCTGTCTGTACTTCAGCCTGGACATGCTCTGACTTCCCAGGGGCAGCCTCGGTATGTCTAACACCCGACACCTGCTCTGAACCCCACCTTGACCCTGATCCCACAGATCTGACAGAGGCTTTCTTTCTTGTTTGGTTCCTGAACTCCAATGTCTACCTGTGTAATATGACTACACTTCTGTATACATCCTTCTGCCTGACCAGACTATTTTGGCTTGCTTATTCAGAATCCACACTTCATCTGTTTTTTCCTCCTGCCTTTTTTTGTTCAATTCAACCTCCCTTAATTCCATGACACAGAAAATGATTTTTCTGTATTTATCAGTATTAATATCCATATTGCTCTACATGTTGTACACAATATAGAAATGACCAATCCCTTCACTTTTAGTAACTTATGCACTGAAGACGCAAAGTGAAACAAGCATTTCCTTTATCCTTCAGAATCTAGCTTGCCCCTTACTCCTGGATCCTCAAGTACTTGGGGTAGGGGGAGGGTGTGGAGGGGTCAGGGGTGGCAGTGGAAGAAATATGCTGATCTTACATAAAAGAGATGTGGCTCTATTTTCTATTTTCAGTGTTTCAAAAAGATCTTGGTGGAAAGGCCATGGTGTAGAAACGGAATTTTACAGAGGGGAAGCGGACGGCTTATGACTTATTTGTTATTGGGATGACAGCCAAGGGTCATAAAATTATGGAAATCATCACTGGCTACCTCTGGTGACCAATGCCCAGGATCAGAGAGGAGGCCTGCATGGCTAGAGAAGCCCTTCACCACACCAGCTGCCTCAGACTCTGGCCTCGCCTGGTGTGGCCACTGCTGCTCCTTTACAAGGTCAACAGCCACTATTCCAAGAACTAGATGCAATTCCCAGTACAGTCTTATTTTTTTCCCCAACTTTATTGAGATATAAGTGACATATAACATTGTGTAAGTTTAAGGTGTACAATGTGATGATTCAATACACGTTTATATTGCAAAATGATAACCATAATAAGGTTAGTTAACATGTCCATCACCTCACATAATTACCTTTTCTTTTTGGTGGTGAGAACATTTAAGATCTACTCTCTTAGCAACTTCCAAGTACACAATACAGTATTGTTGACTCCGGTCACCATGCTGTATGTTAGATCCCAGAACTTATTCATCTCATAGCTGAAAGTCTGCTAATATAGCCTTATTACCTTTATTCCGTAGTGGAGGCCATTTTGCTCTGGGAAGCAAAATGCTCAAAGAAGATATAGCTAAAGAAAGTCTTCCATAATAATTATTATTACTATTATTATTTAAAAATGTCTAAAATATAAGGAGTAAAACGCTGCTGGTGGTTGCACAGCTTAATCTTAAAATAATCCTGTGACAAAAACCAAATTTATTTCTAACCATTTCTGCTTGAAAGTATTTTTTTGGAACTAGCCCTCCTGATTGGTTCAGCTCTCAGCGAGTGCAGCCCACATCTTATACACTGTATTTGTTCAGATGCCCCAGGCCGGGGATGAGGAAGGGGACGACCTTTATGTTTTCCACTCTGAAGGAAGAGCTAAATGTTTCCTCTCATTTCTTTCTCTATTGGCCTCTGTACTCT